AGGGGGCCTTCCCCAGCAGTAACCCCTTAGTGATCCTGCCAGCCCCGCCTCCACAGTGGCTTCTAATACTCCTCCTCCCTCCCCCTGTTGGGGGGAAGTTTGCTCAGCAAGATTGCCTTAGCCCTGCTGCTGGCCCAGCCTCCCTGATGCCTTTAAACATAATCGGGTGTCTGTCAGGTGTAGGAGCAGGACCAGGGTACTTTAATCCATCAGGGATGCCGCCCCAACAGGATCACCTTAGCGATGCTGCTGGCCCAGCCTCTCTGATGGCTTCCAACACATTCCCCCCCACCTCCTACACCTAAAAGGCGGTTGTCTGTCAGGTGCAGCAGCAGTTGCAGGGTGCTTAAAGCCATGAGGGAGCCCACCCCAGCAGTCTACAGAGAGGTCCTTCAGTAGAGAAAAAAAATGTATGTCTCACTTCATTGTTTACACTACAATCTTCTCCATTAGAATTCCTACAACAAATGTTACATTTCAAACATTACATCATCAGTATTATAACTGGATTTAGGGAAGTTATATACCGTAGTGAAGCATGGGTATCAGGCTAGTCTGCTATAAATGTAATTTAACTTGAACAACTACTAAAAGATTATTAGCCTTTCAGCACATCTATTTCAATTTTCAACATATATCATGAATATTATATAATACAAGTGGAGAACCCATGATACTGGGGGGGGGGGAGTGTCCTTTCCCTTCATTGCCATCACTGCCAGGCCTGGCTCCCTCATTTCCAGCTCAGTGGTAGGGTGTGTGTGAGAACTGCTGCACTTCCCCACCCAATTCCTCAGCTACTGGCTCAGGGGCACTCTTTTATTGGGGTGGGGTTAGATGCTCCAATGTATTTTTTTAACATTTCAGATTTTCTGAAAAGGGGGGAGGGCTCCAAGTTTGCAGAAAAATCTCTTTAGCATCTGTGTGGCCCTGATCCATGGATTTAGATCTCTGCAGATGGGGGCCAGACTTCAGCACGCCCCTGTAGATTATATAGACTGAAGCACCAGTTTTTATTGTATTTAAAAAACGTATTTTATTGTTTTAGTATTTATATGCTGTTAGCCGCCCTGAGCCACTGGGTAGGGCGGGATAGAAATCCCATAATAAATAAATAAATAAATAAATTATTAGATATATAGACTGTATTATATAAATACAAAAGCACTGTATGAAAATTTCACCTGGTGCACTCTGTGCAAATCGTGCCTCTTGAATCACTGCTAGCTTTGGCTGAATAGTGCTTGGCTCAGGCTCCATTGGAACAGGAGAGCCTTCCCTTGACAGGCTTTCTGGGGTCTGCACACCACTTGAGTGAGCAGACAGCACTCCTGAATGGTTAGGGGAAGCTGGGGCACTTCTGCAAGCAAAGAACAAAAGAAAACATTGTTAAGATAGAATTGATGGTTTCCAGAGGTTCCCAAACTTATTTGGCCTATTGCCCCCTTTTCAGGAAAAAAAAGTACTCAGCACCCCCCTGTAAATCTACCTTCAAGCAGACAAAAAGATGCAGTTTGCGGATCTGCACCTGGATAGTTCCAGCACCCCCCAGGGGGTGGTATTGCCCACTTTGGGAACCAGTGGTTTAAACAAACAACCTGCCACAAAAATTATGCAGCATATGTGCTTTTCACAAGGAGGAGTTCTTTGACTAAGGCTTCAAACTGATGTTTTCGTACTACATTAATGGCAAAGAGAACTCAAAAGGCAGACTAGACAGTTGTGCTAGCAGGTGAGAAATGGAGGGAGGATCAGTGAAAATTAATCAGTTTTTCAGTAACAGAGATGTGTTCCCTGTAGATTCATTAGATATAGAACTCCTCCAAGTATCTCCCCCGCCTTAAGGTAGCACCATCTTGGTTCTTGTTTGTCTACTGCTCTTTGTTTTCTCAATATTTCTGTCTCTCAAAATACCAGATATTTACAAGCTTATGTGACCTCTACCTTGATTTTAACAGCATCAGAACACGCACTTTCTAACAAAATTTCCTGTACAAAAATATGTGCCTCCTGGCAGTTCTGAGATTACTAACTTTTAAAAACATAATCTAAACAAAACGGAAACATAATTTAAATGAAACATTCTATGCTGGAATAGATGGCACTATTAATTAAATCCAGTTTCAAAACACTTGTGTAGCTCAAGCCTTCCTCTAACATAACCACGCATACATAACTATTAGCAAGCCAACAGAAATAAGTACAGAATATAGAGGACTCATCTTCAGGGTGAAGGTACATCAACTAGACAATATTTTGAATGAATTACATCCCCAAAAACTGTATTATCAACAGCTCAATTTAAGCTGCAGTTTTATGACCCATTTTAATCTTGTGCAAAGGACACAAGACAGATCAGAAGGTCACTAAGTCCAAATTCATGACCTAAGGTTTTAATTTCCACATACAGGAGCAGGGGGCAGACATCCCGCCAGTTCCTTCTGGCTGCTGTGTAACCCCCAACTTTACAAGTGGAGGCTGACAGCAGAGGGGAAAGTCAGGCGGGTGGTGTGAATGCACAGATGACCACTCATCAGCTACAGGCAGGGGTCATTTCATAGAAAAAGAGGTGCAGGAGCTCATTAGCATAATTTATTTGCATATGCCACACACCCTGACATAACTGGAAGTGTGTCAGAAGGCAACACCCACCGCTCAGGCTCCACCCCTAGGGACTGTCTTTCCACTCTGGGGGCTGTCATTCAAGTCCCAGAGTAGCCTATCTGGGTCCAAAGACATTAATGGAAAAACCATTCCACATTTTCTTTGCAACTTTTTTTGTGCTGCAATGTATTTCAGTGGAGCCCATGCAAGTCAATTGACATTCCTGGCTCCCATTATCTCCAACAGGCCTTCAAGTCTCTCCCATTGTTCCCAATGGGCAATCCTGTCATTCCTTTTATACATCCCAGTTAGTTGTCCCTTTGAAACTGTACCACACCATTTTAAGTAACAGCAAAATGAACAGCATGAACACGTACAGAGTGCACATTTCTTGCCAATGTTCTTTCTGGGCTGCACACAGGGCAAAAGAAAATTTTAAAGTGTCTCTGGAAATTTTAAAAGTCTTTTGTTGAACCCGTTTAAGGGAAGAGGTCATAGCTCCATGACAGAGTATCTGCTGGGCATGCAGAAGGACCCAGGTTCAATCCCTGGCACCTTCAGTAACAAGGATCAGGTAGGAGGTGATGCAAAATACCTTTCCCTGAAATCCTGGAGACCCACTGCCAGTCAGAGCAGACAACCCAGACCCTGACAGACCAAGGGGTCTTACTCAGTCAAATGCAGCTTCATGTCAGCCAATAATGCAGAGACAGCAGTGTGCAGGATGACACTCTGCTCTCTTTGCACAACTCGCACATCGTTCAATTGATATAACTGCCAAACCAAATAGTCTCTTTTGCAGCAGTAGTTCTCCTACAGTTTTCTCAGTTTTGCAATTCTTGATGTCAGATTTGTGTCCATTTATCCTTTGGTGTAGGGTTTGACCTGTTTGTCCAATGCAGAGAACTGCAATTTACACATCCTACTGTATTGTTATTCCAGTGTTGCTATTTTTATTGCTCAGTTACTTATTCATCTTGACTCTAATAATCTCTTCCTGACAACTAACTCACCCTACCTGCATGTAAATTTGAGGAAATCTGTTTCAATGTATGTGAAGATGTGTGCACATGCTAAGAACATAAGAGAAGCCAATGTTGGATCAGGCCAATGGCCCATCCAGTCCAACACTCTGTGTCACACAGTGGCCAAAAATACCAGGTGCCATCAGGAGGTCCACCAGTAGGGGCAGGATACTAGAAGCCCTCCCACTGTTCCCCCCCCCCAACCGCCAAGAATACAGAGTATCACTGCCCCAGACTGAGAGTTCCTATCTATACCTCGTGGCTAATAGCCACTGATGGATCATATGTTTATCCAATTCCCTCTTGAAGCCGTCCATGCTTGTATCCCGCCACCACCTCCTGTGGCAGTGAATTCCATGCATTAATCACTCTTTAAGTGAAGAAATACTTCCTATCCATTCTAACTCGACTGCTCAGCAATTTCATTGCATGCCCACACGTTCTTGTATTGTGAGAAAGGGAGAAAAGTACTTCTTTCTCTACCTGCTCTATCCCATGCATAATCTTGTAAACCTCTATCATGCCACCCCTTTGGGGATTTTGAATTTAGACTTCAGTCTGTGTCATGGTGCCTTCTCATGTTCTTGACCAGCACATGAAGCAACTTATGTACAAAAGGTTGCAATGCCCAGCCATTTCAAGTTTTCCCCTTGGCCCTAGGCTCAGAACTCTGAGCATGAGATTTCTGTAGTGAATGTCAATAAATCAAAAGTAGGTTTGCAGTTTACAGATACACGCTTGAACTGTATACTCAAGATTGCAATAGCACAGACCCTTTTCTTCTCTGCGGCTCCCTTGAGCAAATCCCCCCCAGCCCCCACACCAAAGACCAGTCTGCGGCTTCAGATGCACCCCCCATGTAAAAAGGAACAGATCCCTCCCCACCTGCTCCTAGATGCCAGTGAGGCAGAGGAGAGGTGTCTCCCCCCCCCCCTTCCCTTCCACAATCTTTCCTGCCAGCCACTTGTCTCTTTCCAAGGAGGGAGGGATTTCCCTCTTGCCCCTTCTCTCTCTGGGGCTGCAAGCGGGGAGTTTATTTCGGGGGACACAACAAGCACTTGAAGGGTGGGGGGGAGGGGATCCAAATCCAGCCTCCTTTCTTGGAATCCAGGTTCTGTGTCCTTCGTTTAAAAAAAAAAAAAAAACATCCCTGACAGCCCCTTCCTGCCAGTCTTTGAGCATTTTCTCTCTGCCGGGCAATAGGAAGCTATTAATCCACGCTCCTTTATTTTAAAAAAGTCTAACCCCTTCACCTCACCCAATTGAGTTTTCCAGTCCTCAGACGAGGTGGATGAAGAAGGAACTTGGAAAATTCAAGCAAGGAACTGGGAGCACAGCCCTGCGTGGAGGGACTCCAGAGCAGCCCCACTGAGCTGCATTATAGGGCGCCGCTGACTGCGGCCGGGCAGAAGTCCAGTCCTTCCACGGGGTCTTCACGGGAAAGGGCAGGAAGCCTTTTTTGTAGGTCTGCAGCAGTGAAAGAGTTAAATTCAGCCGATCTGTTTGCTACAGAGGCCAAGCAGGGAAGGGGGCGGAGAGGGTATGAGAGCGGGGAGGGAAAAGTCTTGCAGGAAAGAAGCGGGAAAAGTCTTGCAGCCAGAGTCAAGCCGCACCAGAGGAGGGAAGGAGAGGAGAGCAGCCCAGTGTCCTGGAGGTGCAGAACTCCACGCAGATGTGTTGCCCACAGCCTGGTTCCTGCCGCCCTCCTCCCCTCAAAGAGTACTCGCCCGACCACTGGCACCCCGCACTCGTGCTGCCCTCTCCCTCCTTCACAGGCTGCACTGCTCTGCCACGTGCTGCTCAGTCAGAGAGAGTGTTCTGGGGAGTGGTGGGTGGGAGGCGCAGTGGCAGCGGGCTGAGATGGATGGCGGGCGGCAGCAACTTGCACATGCCAGTGACAGCGTTAGGGCCACGGTCGGAGCGCCGCATGCAGAAAGCCCGACGCCACCCGCCTGCGAGGGCAGCCGGGAAAGTGCACAATCCATGCACACCTCCCCTGCCTCGGCTCCTTGCAGAAGGGTGAGAAAAGCAGGCTTTTGGGGAGGCAGGCTCGAATGGTAAGGGCCAAGGAGGAAGAGGCCAGGTCTCGGGCACCGCCACCACCGCCGTGCCATGACTTGGGACTCGATATGGGGACGCTTCAACAGCAGAGCGGTGCTTTTCAGTGGCAACACTAGCAGCCCAGCCCCTGCCCTCCGCCGCTCCCCATGCGCTTGTTGCTCAGGCTGGCTGGAGAGGCGGATGTGCACCAAGAGGCGAGGCGACAATGAGCCACCTGCAGCCGGGCTGAGCAAAACCAAAGTGGCAAGGCTCTGCTTGTTACTCCTGCCCCCCCCAGGCCCGTCACAGAAGCGGAGCCCCCCAACCTGCTCACTCACCAGATCTGCCCCCGCCCAGCAGAGGGGCGATGACTTCCCGCAGCAGGAGCCCCTCGTGGGGCACTCATCGCCGGAGCCTTGCAGCCCGAATGAGGGCTGCTGGGAGCAGGGGGCAGGGCTTAGTCATGTGTCCACCCCCTGGGCTCCTCACTCCCGGAGCACGGCTCCTGTGTGCTCCGGCTCCAACTGACCCCTGGTTACAGGTAAGCAACCTGTTTATCTTCTTCATGGTCTCTGTGCATCACACCCATGGGATAGGAAGCTCTGGCCTACCTGGAGAAAGGTGCTGGCAGCTACTCAGTCATACTTGGCTTGGAGAATGGACCGTCCCACTGTCGTCTGCTGTCTCGCAC